TCCATAAATATCTGAATTAATTCTACTTGTGACTTTTTTTAATCTTGCATGGAGAATGAGTTATGATTTGGTCAATTTTGGATATTGTTACTTATTTCAATGTGATATAATATGAATTGATAATCTTAATACTGTGAGAGTAATAATGGCTGGAGACGGCTTAAATGGGTAATGAAGAAAAACTTTAATATAAGTTTAACATGACAGCAAATGTACAACGTTTCGACAAGGTTTTGTCATCATCAGGTACATGAGAGTGTCTTTGTGTCCAAGAGTTCTTACAAGCTTGTTTTTAAACAGAGTGCTTCTATTCGCATGTAGCATAGTACCAGCTGAATTAGATGTTACTAAGTTTTAAAGTTCATTGTTTGGAAGGTGTTAGTGAAAACTGTGTGGATGTACCACTACGATTTAGGTTGTTTATTTGAAGTTTTTAATAAAGTATGAATTTTAAGAAAATGCAGCTGAGGGATACACATTGATTATAAGAGTATGAACAATTATGTTTTTTAGTTCTTTGAAAATTGTATGTAATTTTTTTGTATACAAAACATCTGTGTGGCTTTTAAAATGGTAAAGCAATGATTGTTATGTTGGCTTTTAAGTTGCAGAATCATCATCACTTGCATTCATTTGTAACCTGTATTTATTTATTTTGTGATAAATGTTTGAAAATATTCCGTTTTAATGATACTTTTATTCCCTCAGGATTGTCGTGGGACTTTTCCATTGGTTAAGTGTACCTATTGCAGGACTGAATTCCAGCAAGACAGGTGAGTTGTGTACTTTGTAAAATACCCTAGTGTATTTTTCGTACATAGTCGAATCATTTTGGGTAGCAGAATATCCAGCAGATTATTATAATCAGTAACCTTTAAAGGATTGGTGATATCAGCTTAGCCTAAAGCTGTGTGGTTGGTGTTCGTCACTTTTCTGTGGTACATTTAGTAAGAAGAAATTTGGAGATATTAACATCATTTACCACTGAGTCATGATTTCAAATTTAGTTTAATTGTACTAACTGTGCAAACTGTCATGAAGTAGTTTCTTCAACAGTAACAGACCAAAGAAACAGTATATTTAACACTAGGTGCAGGAAAAGAGGAATAACTATTGTAAGTACCAACTGTGCATACTGTCATGAAGTAGTTTCTTCAACAGTAATAGACCAAAGAAACATAGTATATTTAACACTAGGTGCAGGAAAACAGGACTAACCATTGTAAGTACCAACTGTGCATACTGTCATGAAGTAGTTTCTTCAACAGTAATAGACCAAAGAAACATAGTATATTTAACACCAGGTGCAGGAAAAGAGGACTAACTTATGCACAGTTGGTACTTACAAGGTCTATTACTGTTGAAGAAACTACTTCATGACAGTAAAGAAACATAGTATATTTAACACTAGGTGCAGGAAATAACTAGTTGTACCTGATGGTAAGAGTTTATACATTTAATAACTAGTATACTACCAGTCAGGTGTTTGTTAGTTCATAATTATCAAATTGTGTTAACATTATGTTATGTGTGTAGTTTTAATATATAAAAGATAAAGCCTTATTCAGCCTGAAAAGTTGAGATGAGTTTCATAATATAAAATATATGCCTCATACTGCATCAAAGGTCAAGATGAATTTTATGAAACTTATAATTTATTTAATTTAGTTAGATAAATATGAATTTTTTTTTACTTTGTTGTATTATAAAACATTTATTTGGGCACTATGCAACTGCAGGTTTACTTTCAAACACATTTATATATCAGGAAATAAAAGAGAATAATGTGAAAAAGAAAAAACATAATTTGGATATGATGAAACTGGAAGAGAAACACTTGGTAGCCTTTTTCACAAAATAAAAGCAAGGTTTAGTTAAGTGTTCCAGTGTAAAAATAAATCATCATAGGTTTTATAATATAAAGAACTAAGTTTATGAAACATTTTAATTAAGGATTGTTGTATAATTTTTGTGTATTAACAGTTCATAAAAATTGGGCTAACAGTTTACTTTATTTGGTACAGCAAAGGAAGTACTACATCTGTGTGCAAGAAATGTGAACAGAATGTGAAACTTTATGGAAAGGTATTAACACTCATTAACTTTGATTTCTCTAAAACTTTTTTTTATCAGTGAAACAACATTTTAGATTTTTGGTGTATGTAATGTTAACCGTTTGATTTCCCATTAATAATTAAATTGTAAAATTGTAAGTGATAAAAACTTAAAACTTATTTTTCTCAGTACTTTGACCGTAGTTCATTCCTTTCTATTTGTTTTGTAGCCTTCAGCCTGCGAATACTGCAATATTATTGCTGCTTTTATTGGTACAAAATGTCAGCGCTGTACAAACTCGGAGAAGAAATATGGACCCCCTATGACGTGTGAGCAGTGCAAACAAAGATGTGCATTTGATCGCAAGGACGAGAGCCGGAAAAAGGTTTGGCTGCTAATAATCTTTCTTCAAAAGAATATATGGTACTGAGACTGTCTAGTTGTGTCTGTTGATGGACTTTTGAAGTCATTAACTTTGTGAACAGTGTCTGTTGATGGACCTTTGGAATTGGTAACTTGTATGCTTTCTTCCTTCTGTTACAGGTTGATGGAAAACTTCTCTGTTGGCTGTGTACCCTTTCTTACAAGAGAGCCTTGGCTAAAGCCAAACAAAATGATCATGCAAGACACTCAAGAAGTTCTCTTCATAAAAGCCATCGCCGTTCGAACTCAAGTTCTCATAACCGTAAACAAACTTTGAGCCATTCATCCAGCACCAAGTAAGGTTTATTAGACCAGATGAGTTTTAATTTAACCTGTTCAACACATTAGTGACATAAAATATGATTTCTGTTGGCTTTTTACCTGCATTTCTTAGTTGTCTTAGCAAATTCTAAACACAAATTCAAGTGTTGAAAATGTGTCCAGGGTCTTTGCTCATCTTTGTTATTTCTTCAACCATATGTTTTAAGCTTGTTATTTACAGTACACATTATCCGCACCTTTGACTAGTGTCTGTTTAACTTCACAAACAAGTAAACTTAGCATATATTGAGAATCTTTTAAAGGTGGAGGATTTTTGTGATTTTCAATTTTGATTTCAGAAATTCAGATAATCCCAGTTCAAAAAAACGAAGATTGGAATTGAACAAATCTACCAATGGTGCACTGCCTCCAAGGTTTGTTTTATATCACTGCTATTTAATTACATCTAATCAACCAAACTCGTATATTAGGTGTGGAAAAATTGGACGAACTATAAACCTGTATTTTTATTATCATTCCATTTAAGAGTCATTGTAAAGAAGTAGATTCCTTGTCAGTATAAAAGTTGGTGCATCTAACATTAATGAAAAATCAATTGTGCAAGCTATACTTAACATTTGTTATTTGTAGAAAAGAATTATTTTGATTTAACAAAAATCAGTTTGTTGCTTTCTGAGCTTTCAGAAAGTATAAGTACTTTCTTAAACATCACAGACTGCTGCCATTATTAATTTGGTACAAAATGTTACAACTCTGTTTACAGCGCCACTGAAAGTGCCCTGATGGATCCCAACAGCAGCGACCATGTGGTTGCCATCACCCAGTTAAAGGAACAAGTAGCCCTGCTTCAGAAACAGTTGTTGCAGAAAGATCAGCAACTTTTAAACAAAGATAAACAGGTATATACGTGTTTGTGCGTCTACATGAGAAATTGTAATGGGATAAATGTGTATTGACCATGTACCATCTGATCTTGTAGTTTTATAGAGGTTACTTGTTTACTATGTAGCATCTAGTACAGTATCTTTATGGGTGACACACTATTAACCATGTAGTATCTAGTACAGTAATTGTATAGCTTGTACCTTACTATTAACCATTATCTGATCTTGTAGTTTCATAGAGGTTACTTGTTTACTATGTAGCATCTACTGTAGTATCTTTATGGGTGACACACTATTAACCATGTAGCATCTAGTACAGTAATTGTATAGCTTATACCTTACTATTAACCATTATCTGATGTTGTATTTTTATATTTATAAGTTACATGTCTACTATGTAGCATCTAGTACAGTATCATTACGTGCGATACTTGAGTATTAACCATGTAACATCTGGTGGTATATTTTTATATTTATAAATTACGTGTCTACTATTTAGCATCTAGTATAATATCATTATGTGTGATACACTATTTAACCATGTAACATCTGGTGGTGTATTTTTATATTTATAAATTACATGTCTACTATTTAGCATCTAGTACATTATCATTATGTGTGATACACTATTAACCATGTAACACTTGGTGGTATATTTTTATATTTATAAATTACATGTCTACTATTTAGCATCTAGTATAGTATCATGTGTGATACACTATTTACCACATCTGGTGGTGTATTTTTATATTTATAAATTACATGTGTGCTATATAGCATCTAGTACATTATCATTATGTGTGATACACTATTAACCATATAACATCTGGCGGTGTATATTTATATTTATAAATTACAATAATACTATTTTTTTCAAAAAAATATTTGCCATGTGTGTAATGTTCAATCTTAAAAACTAAAATTTTTTTTAAAAACAACGATTATTTTATACACAATTCTATATAAATGAGATTGTTTCCTGTCTCCAAATTACTAAAGTAATAACTTACTCTACAAGGTTAAAAAAAGTGGTAAAAACCCCGATGAAACTAGAAAACAATCTCATACACTCTACATGTTTCAATATATACTACTGCATCATCACTCAGTAGTGTAATGTTTTGCAAAAAATAACACTTATTTATACAATTATCAAAACACCAGTTTACATATTTTAAAGAATTTCTCGGCATCTGCTGACAACACTTCCATCAGGCCCATTATTCAGTAATTTAAATTTACTTTTTTACATTTAATTATCTCAATAGATTCACATATATTCCTACCAATTACATTTCCAGGTTGTTTATTATTATTTTTAATATTTCTTTTATGTTCATTCAGTCTGAATTTATAAATTTCTTCTTGTTTATACTGTATTAATGTTTTTACATTCAAGTTATATTTTATCTTTAGTTTTATCAAGAATTTTGCTGACTTTGTTTATTGGTTTGAATAGCACAAAAATATTTATTTATATATCAAGAGAAATACTTTGAAACTTTGTGATCCATAATAAAGAAAAAAAGGGCACAGCTGTACATTTTATTTCTGATTTTACAACTTTTCATCTTACTTTGATAATTTGCTTCTGGCTGTAGAATCAGATATATTGTTAGGGTAGAGGTAATAACAGATAAAATAAAATATAAAGTTTTACTAAAAAAAGTTTTAAAATTATTTAGGGGGTTTTGGGGGTTACGTAAACAAATGAAATTTGAGATTTTTGAGACAAATGAAAGTATTTTTAACCTTAATTTATAATTCAATTTGCACTCGGACTAGTAAAAAGGATTTGATATATTCACGAACAAATCTTTAATAAAAATACTTCATTAAAAATTCTGAATTTTGTGAAAATACACTGTATTAAAAGTTATGGTATTGAAACTATAGTTAATACAAAATGGTTATGAGGTCAGTCAATTTGATTGACTTTGTGTTAACCATGTAGTGTCTTTATGGGTGATACCTTTTAACCATGTTACATCTAGTATGGTATCTTTATGGTTAATATTTGACTATTAACCATGTCACATCTAGTATAGTATCTTTATGGTTAATATTTGACTATTAACCATGTTACATCTAGTATAGTATCTTTATGGTTAACATTTGACTATTAACCATGTTACATCTAGTATAGTATTGTTACGTCTCCGTTTGTGAATTAACTTTCTGTAACTTCGTTCCGACGAAACTTGCGACACAAGTTCTTTACTTAATAAAACTGGTTTATTCTTTCCGAATACAACTTTACCGATACACTCAACTTCAACAATCGCGCTAAACAAACGCTGTAACGTCTCTCGTGCTCTCTGACTGCAGTTCAATTACTCACTGTCTATACACACAT